ACCAGCCCCGGTAGTACAGTTTCAATAACTAACACACTGCATATATTCTTCTTAGTGGTAGGAAGTTCTGTCTTTAAGATAAAGGGAAAGGGCTGAGGAGATGGCTCAGTAGAGTAAGTGCTTGCCTGGCAAGTGCAAGGGCCTGAGTTCAGTCCCTGGTTCCACCAAAAAAAAAGAAAAAAAAGAAAGATGTTCTCTGTAGAGAGAAGTTCATGTATATATTTAGTTGTTTTTATGCCATTATATATTTTGATGTTTCCATCATGATATTTTTTTCATTTTTTTGTATTTTAGGAAAGTGTCTACAGGGTGTTCAGGGTCTCACTACTAGATACATTGGACTCATATAATCCATGATCCGCCTGTTTACAGCCTCCCAACAGCTCGGATTACAGGCGCGTGCCATCACGCCCAGTCTCAATCTAGTCTCAGTGTGCCCGGGGACGGGGCCAGCACTGCAGGCCCAGGGATTGAAACCCTAGTCCCTGCGCCTGCTTGCAGGCGCTTTAATCCGCTGAGCTATTTGGCTGGCCCACAGTACGTGTTATTCAGGGACTAGTAGAAAAATACCCTGTAGTAAGGGTGAAGAAAATTATTCTGTAGTTTGCAGCTGTAGGAAGAATTTTTTTTTTTTTTTTAGAAGTTTTTTAAAAAGACATTTTTGTATGACCTCTCTTACATGCAAGGCCCTGAACTTCTTAGGCCAGTGGAATTGGGGCCAGGGAGAGAGTGTTACTGGGAAAAGAGTACTTTTGGAGAAATTCCTTCTAGATTTGAATTGTTCATTTGGGTAATAGTTTTTCAACTGAAGATAGCACTGTGCTGATGATAGCCCTCAGTTCTGTGAAGATCAAGAGGTTTCAGCCTTGCTGTGTCGTGTGGGACGACTGTGACTTGCTGCTGGTGCCATCTAGTGGGGCGAGTGTGGCCTCCGGGGCTGTCTCAGGGTTTGCCAACTTTGTAACATTTCATTCATTACAAACTTTTGATGTTCTTAGAAGGAAAAGTGCTACCGTGGATTCTTTTCTAGTGGACAAGAGTGTTGTGCGTGGCTTTAGACTTTGAACTTCATGGTTATTGTAGATCTTCTATCATAGTCTTCAAATTTCTCTTAAGAAATTAGGTATCTGTCACGAAATTTAGGCTAAAACAATCACAACATGTTTATTGCTTATATTTGTCTTAGCATATTTACTTTGTGCTAAGTCAAAGTCATTTGTTTGGAACTGTGGCAAGTGACTTTTGTTTAAAAGACTGCTGTTCATAGGGCCGGGGAGATGGCTCAGTAGAATAAGTGCTTCTCTGGCAAGTGCAAGGGCCTGAGTTCAATCCCTGGTTCCAAAAAAAAAAAAAAAAAAAGGCTGCTGTTCTTGGGAAAGCAGCCTCGTGTGCACTTGAAGCCTGTGGCCCTTCTCCCAGTCTGCTGTCACTGTTCAGGAGATGGTGTTGAGGTAATAAAGCTAACTGGGTTGTGAGCTTACTTCAGTTTATTTATTTATTTGTGTGTGTGTGTGTGTGTGTGTGTG